TCACACTCACTACACTCACACTCACCACACTCACACTCACTACACCCACTACACCCACTACACTCACACTCACTACACTCACACCCACTACACTCACACTCACTACACTCACTACACTCACACTCACTACACCCACTACACCCACTACACCCACTACACTCACACTCACTACACTCACACTCACTACACTCACACTCACTACACTCACACTCACTACACCCACTACACCCACTACACCCACTACACTCACACTCACTATACTCACACCCACTACACTCACACTCACTACACTCACTACACTCACACTCACTACACCCACTACACCCACTACACCCACTACACTCACACTCACTACACTCACACTCACTACACTCACACTCACTACACTCACACTCACTACACTCACACTCACTACACTCACACTCACTACACCCCACTACACCCACTACACCCACTACACTCACACTCACTACACTCACACCCACTACACTCACACTCACTACACTCACTACACTCACACTCACTACACCCACTACACCCACTACACCCACTACACTCACACTCACTACACTCACACTCACTACACTCACACTCACTACACTCACACTCACTACACTCACACTCACTACACTCACACTCACTACACTCACTACACTCACACTCACTACACTCACACCCACTACACTCACACTCACTACACTCACTACACTCACACTCACTACACCCACTACACCCACTACACCCACTACACTCACACTCACTACACTCACACTCACTACACTCACACTCACTACACTCACACTCACTACACTCACACTCACTACACCCACTACACCCACTACACCCACTACACTCACACTCACTATACTCACACCCACTACACTCACACTCACTACACTCACTACACTCACACTCACTACACCCACTACACCCACTACACCCACTACACTCACACTCACTACACTCACACTCACTACACTCACACTCACTACACTCACACTCACTACACTCACACTCACTACACCCACTACACCCACTACACCCACTACACTCACACTCACTACACTCACACCCACTACACTCACACTCACTACACTCACTACACTCACACTCACTAAACCCACTACACCCACTACACCCACTACACTCACACTCACTACACTCACACTCACTACACTCACACTCACTACACTCACACTCACTACACTCACACTCACTACACCCACTACACCCACTACACCCACTACACTCACACTCACTATACTCACACCCACTACACTCACACTCACTACACTCACTACACTCACACTCACTACACCCACTACACCCACTACACCCACTACACTCACACTCACTACACTCACACTCACTACACTCACACTCACTACACTCACACTCACTACACTCACACTCACTACACCCACTACACCCACTACACCCACTACACTCACACTCACTACACTCACACCCACTACACTCACACTCACTACACTCACTACACTCACACTCACTACACCCACTACACCCACTACACCCACTACACTCACACTCACTACACTCACACTCACTACACTCACACTCACTACACTCACACTCACTACACTCACACTCACTACACCCACTACACCCACTACACTCACTACACTCACACTCACTACACTCACACCCACTACACTCACACTCACTACACTCACTACACTCACACTCACTACACCCACTACACCCACTACACTCACACTCACTACACTCACACTCACTACACCCACTACACCCACTACACCCACTACACTCACACTCACTACACTCACACCCACTACACCCACACTCACTACACTCACTACACTCACTATACTCACACTCACTACACTCACTACACCCACCACACTCACCACACTCACACTCACTACACCCACTACACTCACACTCACTACACTCACACTCACTACACCCACTACACCCACTACACTCACTACACTCACACTCACTACACTCACTAGACTCACACTCACTACACCCACCACACTCACCACACTCACACTCACTACACCCACTACACTCACACTCACTACACTCACACTCACTACACCCACTACACCCACTACACCCACTACACTCACACTCACTACACTCACACCCACTACACCCACACTCACTACACTCACTATACTCACACTCACTACACTCACTACACCCACCACACTCACCACACTCACACTCACTACACCCACTACACTCACACTCACTACACTCACACTCACTACACCCACTACACCCACTACACTCACTACACTCACACTCACTACACCCACTACACTCACCACACTCACCACACTCTCACCGCACCTCTCTCCCCCATCACCCCCGCAGAGTTTGTGAAGGAGGACATGGCTAAGAGCCTGCTGCACATGATCAGCAACAACATTGGTCAGCTGGCCAGTCTGTACACTCACACTCACTACACTCACACTCACTACACTCACTACACCCACTACACTCACTACACTCACTACACCCACTACACTCACTACACCCACTACACCCACTACACTCACACCCACTACACTCACTACACTCACACCCACTACACTCACTACACTCACACTCACTACACTCACACTCACTACACTCACACTTAGTACACTCACCACACTCTCACCGCACACCTCTCTCCCCCATCATCTCCGCAGAGTTTGCGAAGGAGGACATGGCTAAGAGCCTGCTGCACATGATCAGCAACAACATTGGTCAGCTGGCCAGCCTGAACGCCCACACTCACTACACTCACTACACTCACTACACCCACTACACTCACACTCACTACACTCACCACACTCACCACACTCTCACCGCACATCTCTCCCCCATCATCCCCGCAGAGTTTGCGAAGGAGGACATGGCTAAGAGCCTCAGACTCACTACACTCACTACACTCACCACACTCTCACACCCAACCTCTCTCCCCCATCACCCCCGCAGAGTTTGCGAAGGAGGACATGGCTAAGAGCCTGCTGCACATGATCAGCAACAACATTGGTCAGCTGGCCAGCCTGTACACTCACACCCACTACACCCACTACACTCACCACACTCACCACACTCTCACCGCACCTCTCTCCCCCATCATCCCCGCAGAGTTTGCGAAGGAGGACATGGCTAAGAGCCTGCTGCACATGATCAGCAACAACATTGGTCAGCTGGCCAGCCTGTACACTCACACCCACTACACCCACTACACTCACCACACTCACCACACTCTCACCGCACCTCTCTCCCCCATCACCCCCGCAGAGTTTGCGAAGGAGGACATGGCTAAGAGCCTGCTGCACATGATCAGCAACAACATTGGTCAGCTGGCCAGCCTGTACACTCACACTCACTACACTCACTACACTCACACTCACTACACCCATAGATTCACCACACTCTCACTGCACACCCCACCTCTCTCCCCCATCACCCCCGCAGAGTTTGCGAAGGAGGACATGGCTAAGAGCCTGCTGCACATGATCAGCAACAACATTGGTCAGCTGGCCAGCCTGTACACTCACACCCACTACACCCACTACACTCACCACACTCACCACACTCTCACCGCACCTCTCTCCCCCATCATCCCCGCAGAGTTTGCGAAGGAGGACATGGCTAAGAGCCTGCTGCACATGATCAGCAACAACATTGGTCAGCTGGCCAGCCTGTACACTCACACCCACTACACTCACTACACTCACTACACTCACACTCACTACACCCATAGATTCACCACACTCTCACTGCACACCCCACCTCTCTCCCCCATCACCCCCGCAGAGTTTGCGAAGGAGGACATGGCTAAGAGCCTGCTGCACATGATCAGCAACAACATTGGTCAGCTGGCCAGCCTGTACACTCACACTCACTACACTCACTACACTCACTACACTCACACTCACTACACCCATAGATTCACCACACTCTCACTGCACACCCCACCTCTCTCCCCCATCACCCCCGCAGAGTTTGCGAAGGAGGACATGGCTAAGAGCCTGCTGCACATGATCAGCAACAACATTGGTCAGCTGGCCAGCCTGTACACTCACACTCACTACACTCACACTCACTACACTCACTACACCCACTACACTCACTACACTCACTACACCCACTACACTCACTACACCCACTACACCCACTACACTCACACCCACTACACTCACTACACTCACACCCACTACACTCACTACACTCACACTCACTACACTCACACTCACTACACTCACACTTAGTACACTCACCACACTCTCACCGCACACCTCTCTCCCCCATCATCCCCGCAGAGTTTGCGAAGGAGGACATGGCTAAGAGCCTGCTGCACATGATCAGCAACAACATTGGTCAGCTGGCCAGCCTGTACACTCACACTCACTACACTCACTACACTCACACTCACTACACCCATAGATTCACCACACTCTCACTGCACACCCCACCTCTCTCCCCCATCACCCCCGCAGAGTTTGCGAAGGAGGACATGGCTAAGAGCCTGCTGCACATGATCAGCAACAACATTGGTCAGCTGGCCAGCCTGTACACTCACACTCACTACACTCACTACACTCACACTCACTACACCCATAGATTCACCACACTCTCACCGCACACCCCAACTCTCTCCCCCATCACCCCCGCAGAGTTTGCGAAGGAGGACATGGCTAAGAGCCTGCTGCACATGATCAGCAACAACATTGGTCAGCTGGCCAGCCTGTACACTCACACCCACTACACCCACTACACTCACCACACTCACCACACTCTCACCGCACCTCTCTCCCCCATCACCCCCGCAGAGTTTGCGAAGGAGGACATGGCTAAGAGCCTGCTGCACATGATCAGCAACAACATTGGTCAGCTGGCCAGCCTGTACACTCACACTCACTACACTCACTACACTCACACTCACTACACCCATAGATTCACCACACTCTCACTGCACACCCCACCTCTCTCCCCCATCACCCCCGCAGAGTTTGCGAAGGAGGACATGGCTAAGAGCCTGCTGCACATGATCAGCAACAACATTGGTCAGCTGGCCAGCCTGTACGCCCACACCCACTCCCTGCGCAACGTCTACTTTGGGGGGTTCTTCATTCGCGAGCATCCCGTAACCATGCACACCATCTCATTCGGCATCAACTACTGGTCCAAGGTGTGTGGTGGGTGGTGGTGGTGGTGGTGGGGGGTAGGGGGGGTGATGGTGGGGGTGGTGGTGGTGGGGGGTAGGGGGGGTGATGGTGGGGGTGGTGGTGGTGGGGGGGTGTGATGGGGGTGTGATGGGGGGGGGGGGTGATGGGGGTGTGATGGGGGTGTGATGGGGGTGTGATGGGGTTGTGATGGTGGGGTGTGATGGTGGTGTGATGGGGGTGTGATGGTGGTGTGATGGAGGTGTGATGGGTGGTGTGATGTTGGTGTGAGTGATGGTGGGGGGGGGGGGGGGTGATGGGGGTGTGATGGTGGTGTGATGGTGGTGTGATGGGGGTGTGATGGGGGGTGTGATGGGGGTGTGATGGGGGTGGTTGTAGGTTGTGTGTTGTGGTTGTTGTAGTAGTTGTAGTAGTTGTAGTGGTTGTGGTGGTTGTTGTCGTAGTTGTGGTGGTTGTGGTGGTTGTTGTAGTGGTTGTGGTGATTGTTGTAGTGGTTGTGGTGATTGTTGTAGTTGTTGTGGTGGTTGTTGTAGTGGTTGTGGTGGTTGTTGTAGTGGTTGTGGTGGTTGTTGTAGTGGTTGTGGTGGTTGTTGTAGTGGTTGTGGTGGTTGTTGTAGTGGTTGTGATGGTTGTTGTAGTAGTGGTGGTTGTTGTAGTGGTTGTGGTGGTTGTTGTAGTGGTTGTGGTGGTTGTTGTAGTGGTTGTGGTGGTTGTTGTAGTGGTTGTGGTGGTTGTTGTCGTAGTTGTGGTGGTTGTGGTGGTTGTTGTAGTGGCTGTGGTGATTGTTGTAGTGGTTGTGGTGATTGTTGTAGTTGTTGTGGTGGTTGTTGTAGTGGTTGTGGTGGTTGTTGTAGTGGTTGTGGTGGTTGTTGTAGTGGTTGTGGTGGTTGTTGTAGTGGTTGTGGTGGTTGTTGTAGTGGTTGTGATGGTTGTTGTAGTAGTGGTGGTTGTTGTAGTGGTTGTGGTGGTTGTTGTAGTGGTTGTGGTGGTTGTTGTAGTGGTTGTGGTGGTTGTTGTAGTGGTTGTGATGGTTGTTGTAGTAGTGGTGGTTGTTGTAGTAGTTGTGGTGGTTGTGGTGGTTGTTGTAGTGGTTGTGGTGGTTGTTGTAGTGGTTGTGGTGGTTGTTGTAGTGGTTGTGATGGTTGTTGTAGTAGTGGTGGTTGTTGTAGTAGTTGTGGTGGTTGTTGTAGTAGTTTTAGTGGTTGTGGTAGTAGTTGTAGTGGTTGTGGTGGTTGTTGTAGTAGTTGTGGTGTTTGTGGTAGTTGTAGTAGTTGTGGTTGTTGTTGTAGTAGTTGTGGTGGTTGTTGTAGTAGTTGTGGTGGTTGTGGTGATTGTTGTAGTGGTTGTCATAGTGGCTGTGGTGGTTGTGGTGATTGTTGTAGTGGTTGTGGTGATTGTTGTAGTGGTTGTGGTGGTTGTTGTAGTAGTTGTGGTGGTTGTTGTAGTGGTTGTAGTGGTTGTGGTGGTTGTAGTGGTTGTAGTGGTTGTGGTTGTTGTAGTGGTTGTTGTGGTTGTGGTGGTTGCAGGGCAAGGTGCAGGCATTGTTCCTGAGGCATGAGGGCTATTTGTGGTGATTGTTGTAGTGGTTGTTGTAGTAGTTGTTGTGGTGGTTGTGGTTGCAGGGCAAGGTGCAGGCATTGTTCCTGAGGCATGAGGGCTATTTGTGGTGATTGTTGTGGTGGTTGTTGTGGTGGTTGTAGTAGTGGTTGTGGTGGTGGTTGTAGTGGTTGTTGTAGTAGTTGTTGTAGTAGTTGTTGTGGTTGTTGTTGTGGTTGCAGGGCAAGGTGCAGGCGCTGTTCCTGAGGCACGAGGGCTACTTGGGAGCTATTGGG